TCTTACCCCAAGAGGCTCTGTCTAGCCGAATCCCTCAGATCCGTGAGCTCCATCCAACTGCCTGCCCGATCTCCCTCTCCACGTAGCCGGAAGCCAGTAAAGTAAGTAGAGGAAAGGGTTCTCTCTCTCTCACTTTTGTATATGTAATACATTAATATATTTACTATTATATAATAATATGTTATTATATAATTATTTATATTAACATATCTGTTTATTATATAATAAATCTGTATTATAATTAATATATGTTAAAAATTATATATAATTATTTAAATATATAATAAAATTCTGTCCATTATATAATATATATATATATATAAAAAAAATGTTAAATTGTTCTCTTTCCCTCGCACTTCCTCGTGCCGACCACCGACGAAAGCTAAGGTATAAGCTCCCCTAACCCTAAAACTCTGAGAACCGTTTCATCGCATAGTCGAGACCCAAAACGAGCCACCTATTACACGCTTTCTTAGGCGTGCGGTGGGAAGGGAGTGCGTCACGACGTTTGCGACGAAGCGGGTAATCACCCAAATGTCCTTCCTTCGAAGTTCGATCGCCTTGGAAACCCCGCCTTACACGCTTTTCTTAGCGTGGTGGGAAGGGATCCCGGTGCGATTGCGCACGACGAGCGGGGATACCCATAAGTTACCCGCTTGCGCGTGGAAATAACTGCTGTTCTTTGCAAAAAAAAATTTTACAAAAAAATGATTTTTTCTGCAAAATGTTTCAAAAAGAACCCAATACACGCTTTTTTTAGCGTCTTTCTTTATTAGATTTAAATGAGAATTTGACTTTTAATAGGACACAATGGAGAAAAAGGATTCATGTAGCCGACCCCACGTAGTGGGATAAAGGCTTGATGTTGTTGTTGTTGTTGTTGTACAATTTGAACCCCAATTAGACAATTATCTTTATTACATTTTATATTACATGCAACAACAAAATAAACAACATCAAACCTTTACCCTGCTACGTGGGGTCCGCTATATAAATCCTCTTTCTCCTTTTTGTCTTGTTAAGAGTCAAATTCTCATTTAAATCTAATAAGAAAATTTAGTTCCTAATATTTTCTAACGAAGTCTTTTTAGTTCAACCTCTATCTTTCTTAATATAGGTCAAATATAATCTCTCTCCTTACCGGGTCATTGGAAGGCTGACATTTTATATGTCTAAACCATCTAAGACGATTCTCTCTAATCTTATTTTCCGTTGGAGCTACTCCAATATTTTCACATATATACTCATTTGGCATTTTATCTCCAAAGAGTGAATTCACTCATCCACCTGCGCATCCTCATCTTGTAACACTTACATTTTATATTACATTTAAAATAAAAAAGAGTATTCTTTTTTTATTTGGCTAAGTTTATCATAATACCCCTCTACAAGCTATCAATAGTTCTTCATTTATAAATGAAGTGGTTCCGGAGCTGACAGGTCTAAAGAACTCGACTGCATTGTCTAACAATCGTCGCCTACGACCACCATCACCTGACTACTAACAACTAGCCTTTTCATTTGACTTTAGCTGTATGACTTTGGGCACCCATCCTCTATTATGTTATCGTTGATTTATGTTGGAAGTAATCCACATAATAAAACAAACAAGAAAAGAAAATAGCGGAAATTAACACCAGTATTTAATGTGGAAAAATTCAAAAGAGAAAAAACTACGGAGCCGCACCACACCAAGAAATTCACTATGAAATTGGGAGAAATTGTACAAATTTTCTTCCCACACTTTATCCATCTCTTTTCACTTATCTCTTCATTCTACTTTCAAAACAGACACAGAGACGTTTTTCAATACACCAAAGGACGCAACCCGTTAAGTGAATTAAGAAAAAGATGGAAGAAAGACAATTTAGTCTAATTCGCAATGCCATGGAGTTGAGGTTTAGAGCGTCGTAGCAATCCACTCTCGATCTCTGAGTCTACCCTGCAACTTCGTGGCACTACAGCCTGTTGTTTCGCCGCATCGAGGTTTGGAGCACCGTAATGCTTCTCTCTCTTTGTCTGTCTCTCTCTCTCCAACTCAAACTTGGAGCACTACAGTGCTGTTACGTTTGTATGAAAAAAAATATCGGGTACAATGTAGCCTCTTTCAACCTAATTGATTGACACGATTAGATTCCACATAAAACTAATAATTGATTATCGTTGTATGATCATCTTCACCCTTGATCACTTCTATAATCCTTACAATAGGATCAAACTATTTTCTTAATTATTTGATTCAATCTTCTTCAATCATGGAGAAGAGCAGACTCTTATATCTCTAATTATATAATAGATTATTGCAACTTGGCCAACTCTCGTGATTTTTTTCTTTTATGAATTTTTCACTTAAAAAATTCAGGCTGTTTTTCAAACTTCAATATATATACTGAATCTTTATAAGAAATTAAGAAATGAAACACTCACTTTCTGCCACTACAAATTTTTCAGCATGTAACAATATCAAATATAAGTTATAATATTAGAATCCGCCCTCTTGTAATCGATGGGCATCTTTCATTGTAAGATAGATTCCTCATATTCATGCTAAGCGATAGTATTAACATTTGTTTGAATCAGAATAGTTTCTTAAGTTTATTGCCATTCTACTCACGATACGGCTTAAAGAGCGTTATAAATTAGAAAATAAATTTATTTACGGTGATAGAAAGATCTAGAATTTGTTGCAATGTCTGTTTCATTGCTCTGAACTAATCTGCAGCCATACACTTGTGATGCACAGGATGACAAATCCTTCAGCTTCTTGCGAAAGTCACTTGGCTCCTTTTTGGAAGTTGCTTCAGATGACGAATAAGCATCTATTTCTCTATCAGATTTCATAATTTTAGAAACCAAAAAAATTTCCTTTTAGTCTGTAAAGCATATGAATCTGTCTTCTTCATTTTTTTTCAAGTTTCCACTGATCTGACATTGTATCATGAATTAGTCTTTAGCTTATTTCTGCTACAGAAACAGAGAAGGCTTTGTAGCACGGCAAATTATTACGTCCGGGTCCGGACACCAATCTAGACGTGCCATGTCACTCAAATACACCGGGCCCCAGTGTATTTGGGTGATGTGGCGCATCTGAATTGGATGTCCGGATGTCCGTTGACCGGACGTAATAATTCGCCTTATAGCACTGTCTTGTCACTTGTGCTTCGCTTTTAATGCTTCCCTTATAATCTTTTGGCTCTTTTTACTGATCGTATGAAGTTATCGCAATTCATTTGTGGTTTTTCAACTCCTTTCTCATTTCCTTACATTTAAAATCTAAGCATCCAATGAAATATATATATTCTTTACTTAGAGGAAACAATTTCAGATTTGGAGAGGGAAAATATTAACAGTGGTGATATCTGAGGAAATGAAACAAATGGGTTTAAAGTGGATATAAAGATGTTTTAAGGTTTAATAGTTAGCATAATTTATTAACCTAATATTAAGAGCCTTAGTTTTTTAACATGCATTTCATACATTTAAAAAAAAAAAAACCCAAAACCATCTGTAATAGAAGGAAAGCCAACCATAAGAGTTGATATATTTAATTATAGGTTGACATTTTTAGGAAGATTTACATACATGGCACTCAAAATTATAAGAATCAACAAATTAAAAAAAAAATCAAGTTGCTAGATGTAATCATTTTTAAAGGTATTAATAAGACGATTACCATGTGAAGGAGAAGTCGCGATAGGAGCTTGTTTGCAAATGCATATCGATGAGACCGTGACACTTGAAAGAGAAGAAGAGTTTGTGCGACACACGGTTCCACCCATTCATGTGCTTAAGCCATAGTCATAGTCGATTCTTCTACCACTAACCCCTCTCTCGACATCAATGATTAAATTATAACAATGAGAACTTTGAGTGCCATATGGGTTAATACTAATAGTGAAGTCTTTGTGTTAAATTTATGAATGATATTATTTGCTATTTATATAAATTCTGCTAATTTTTAAAATTAGTTAAACACAAATACGAGTAATTGGATGTCAGATATATAAATAAAAATGTATATTATATGCACACACAAAAAAAAAAAATTAGAGGAGAGAAAAAAAAAATTTATAGGAGAGCAAAAAAAATTTTTTACTCCTAAAAAATTGGGTGTTGAATATGTATTTAGGATAGTTTTAAGTGTTATGCATGTAAAAATCCCTTAATTCTAATATTCTCTTTCATGATTTCTATGACAGTTTAATTACATATTTTTTTTTTATTTTATTTGCTTAATTTTTTTTTAAAAAAAAAACTTTTTTGTAATATATAGATATATAATATATTTTTTTAATATTTAATTATTTTTGTGCTGTATTTGTCTCTCCTCAAAATTAAAGCTGATTCCGCCCCTGATTATATGTTTAAAATACTTCTAATTTTAGAAAACAAAATTGTACCAAAAACCCAACACTATCAATTCACATAACAGAGTTTTAATTCCCATTCTTTTCCCTCTCTTTTACCCTTATTTCCTGTTCAATAACAAAGGAGCAGGACACTATCAAGAAAGCCAGAGACCTACCTATAGGCCCTCTTTGACTTTAGCTCATCAATTTTCATGATTCCGTATTGTTAGGTTCTGTGCATCCCCACTGGAAGACAGTTGTCAATGGGTTTCAATAATTTGATGACTTGAAAATTTTCAGATTCAGATTAATCCGGTTAGCTTTTTGGGTCGAGTTCGAGTTAAATTTTTTGTTAATTTTTAGGTTGGATTCAAGTTGGCTCGAAAGCATAAAAATAAACTCTATTTTTGTTCGGATTAAATGAGTTAGGTTCAGGCTAAACCTATCATATTTGGGTTAAATAGACCTTCTTGATCTAAACAAATTGTACAATCTATATGATAAACATATCAAGTTCATATTATTCGAGTCAAGTTCGGGTTAAATATTTTGACTTGTATGATAAACGGGTTGAATTCGGGTCAAATATATTATTTTAGGTCAACCTCGGATCCAAATTCGACCCACCCACCCAGAATTGACACCTCCTAGTTCTCATAGGATTTCAAGTAGAAATTATATTGCTATTTTGCTTAAGAAATTCTATTTTGAAGTCATTCAAATCACCCACATTAAATATCACTTCCGATAAATACATAATTTTCTTATATCATTGACTCTAGAGTCAGATTCAGACAGAATAATCTTTTTTTTTTTTCCTAATAAAGGCAAAATATTTTGGAAGAGATTAGTTTTATATCCCCAAACATTTATGAATGTTTAATAATTTGTTGCATTTGTCTAATAATTAAGTTATAAATTGTATGAGAAGTTATGATGAAAAAAATATTTTTAATTAAACTTTAAATTATTAAATTTATTTTAATCAAAATTCATCTTTGAAACATTAAAATGAAATATATATATATGAATATTTCTCAATAATAGAAAAGCATAATATATAAATTATACATATATATTTTAATTTTAAGGTTATATTTATATATATTTTTTTCACATTTTAAAAAATTTTAAAAATTAAAATAAAATTCTTAGTACTTCATATGTATGGACATTATAATATATAATATGTGAATTTACTTGCTAAGGTGTTACATTGATGACCAATAGACCCTATCACCCCAAACAAGCCAAGCATTGGAAAATGATTGGACATCCCATACTATTTTTGGGTGATTTCTCTTACTTTCTAAACATCAAAATATAAGGTGAGAGGTAAAGTGAAGAAAACAACACAGGAAAATAACATCCCTTACTTCCAAACTATGAAGCTCTATAGATTACAACAAAACAAGGAAGGATTGCTTTAGGATTCAACACAAAAATTTCATCTAAGCTTGAATAGAGTGCTGAAGTTCCCAGCACTGAATCAAACTCCTCTGAACTGTCTTGGCTTCTCTTAACTCTACCTGCTATCACCCTACAGACCAACATTCCTCTCTTTTCATTTTCAGATGAAATCTGGGCCAAGTCATGAGCTCTTCCACTGGTAGCCATTGTTCTAATCCTTCCTAAAGCATCAGCCTTGATACCATCTCTTATTATGCTGCAAATTCTGCACTTTGGAATAGTGTCGCAGAGATTAGTGGAGCCATGGAGGCCAAGAGAGCAGGTGAAGGTGGTGCAGTGGAATCTCAAGAGTTCATTTCCATCTGCAATGCATCTGGGATACTTCTTTGCAAGTTTGCATGCTTTGTTCTTAATGGAGTTTCGATAGTCTTCGAACCGAGCTATGGTCTTCTCAGAGTTATGGATTTTCAGAATTCTGTCAATCTTGCATGCTGGAGCTTGTTTCTTCAGCCAGCTGGATTGGAATATGATGTCTACTATGTTTCTGCTGGTGTCATCAGGACCCAATTCTGATACTGGATTGATAGTTTGAAGGAAAGAACAATCATGTTAGATAGCTGCCTTTGATATTTTTAATTAGTCATTTGAAGTTTTATAATATGTACAGTCAAGAATATTGTTAATATTGAATATTGGAACTAGAGAGAACAGAACATAAAGGATTGAAACTTGTTATGGAGTCAGAACAAAATGGAAGAAATTAGATGACAGAACAAAATGGAAGAAATTAGAAGCTAAAAATGGGTGGATTGTTTTCTACCTGCATGCCTGGTTGTTTTATGTAGCTCCAAACTCTCAGATTTCATGAAGATCTCCCCACAATCTGGACAAGAAAAGATAGTAGCTCTAAGAGAAGAATCTCTGTAAACACCATTAATTGGATCAATAGCCATGCGACACTCATAGCACCCTGAAAGCCTCCTCAGATGCATTCCTCTCAAAGAACCACCCAATGAAGAGAAAGAGGGGGTGGCACCCAAACTGGAGGAGGAAGAAGAAGAGGTAACTCTATTGATCTCACATAAAGGAGCCTTCATGGATCTACTAGACCCGCCGCCGCTCATCGAAACTCTTCTCTTGCAGCTCTCAGGTGGAGAAGCGGTAACTGGCCTCAGCATTATCTTAGAGCTCTCTCTCAGCTTGCAGAGTGAGCCCGAGCATCCTATTCTTTTGCACTTCTTCTTGTTCCCTTCTCCTTCTGCTGTTGCTACTTGGTGATATCTGCAAGTAAAGAAGCTCGTAAAAACTCTTCTGGGAGTTGGATTTTCTTCTTCCTTAATGATTTCTTTCTGAACTGAATGCTTCATATTGCTCTTCTCTCTGGTTCTTCTTGTTCCTGCCATAGTAGACTAACTGATACTGCTTTGTAATATGCAAGGAGAGGGAGTGATGGCATGTTATCTTCTTTAGTGTTGGGGCATCAAAAGAGGGTCTTTTATGCTTGGGGAGATGTGATTGCTTAGCTTTGCTTTGCTAGATTAAATTTTGTACAGTAATTGAGTCATAAATCTCGATATTATTGAAGGCTTAACTATAGAAATTGTGAATAAAGAAAGCTTAAAGTACTTAATTGATTTCGTTCAGTGGTCCCTTTGAGAAAGAAGTCAGAGAAGAGTGCAGATGGTCCTCATAGAAGACTCCCTTTTCTCTGCAAAGCTCATGTGCTCTGCATGACTTGATGAGTGGAAATAAGAATAAAATTACAAAGAAGTTTCCTTGAAAATAAAGTTCTCTTTTTATAAACCCAACTTCCCCACCTCCCTTCTTTCTTCTCTCTTCTTTCTTCTTTCTTCTTTCTTCTTTTTGTTATGTTAAATGTTATTTGAGTATAAAAATAAATATATAAGTATGCATTTGTTCCTTGAACTCGAGTTAACTCATTTACACCCTTACTCAAATACCAACTTTTCTCTCTCAAAGAGTTTAATCAGCTCACTGGAAACATGTGAGAGGGGGGACTGTATTGTGTGATAAATGGTTATAAATGGCTGAATTCCTTGTGGGGCTTACTCTTTATGAAGCTTTTTTGCTTCCAAACAGGGAAGAGCTTAACTGAACGCCATTTATTGAAAACAAAAAACTGCTCAAAATGTCTAAAGCAGAATTCATATAAGAATTTGAAAACAAATATCACTGAAATGGTATTGAAATGAATGAGATACTGCACAAATTATTGAGCTATTTTTATCTTACTATTTAGTTTCAGTACTCATTCTTTCTCCCTCTTGCTCACTGATAGGAAAGAGACAGCATTATGGGGGAATAAATGAGCTTGCTATTGTCAATTGATAAAGTAGGAATGTATGTGCCCACTTGGTGAATAAAGAAAGCTTAAAGTACTTAATTGATTTCGTTCAGTGGTCCCTTTGAGAAAGAAGTCAGAGAAGAGTGCAGATGGTCCTCATAGAAGACTCCCTTTTCTCTGCAAAGCTCATGTGCTCTGCATGACTTGATGAGTGGAAATAAGAATAAAATTACAAAGAAGTTTCCTTGAAAATAAAGTTCTCTTTTTATAAACCCAGCTTCCCCACCTCCCTTCTTTCTTCTTTCTTCTTTCTGTTATGTTAAATGTGATTTGAGTATAAAAATAAATATATGCATGAATATAAGTATGTATTTGTTCCTCGAACTCGAGTTAACTCATTTACACCCTTACTCAAATACTAACTTTTCTCTCTCAAAGAGTTTAATCAGCTCACTGGAGACATGTGAGAGGGGGGACTGTATTGTGTGATAAATGGTTATAAATGGCTGAATTCCTTGTGGGGCTTACTGTTTATATGGAACAGTTTGGCGAATGACTAATTTATGATGCTTTTTTGCTTCCAAACAGGGAAGAGCTTAACTGCAGGCCATTTATTGAAAACAAAAAATTGCTCAAAATGTCTAAAGCAAAATTCATATAAGAATTTGAAAACAAATATCACTGAATTGGTATTGAAATGAATGAGATACTGCACAAATTATTGAGCTATTTTTATCTTACTATTTAGTTTCAATACTCAGTCTTTCTCCCTCTTGCTCACTGATAGGAAAGAGACAACATTATGGGGGAATAAATGAGCTTGCTATTGTCAATTGATAAAGGAGGAATGTATGTGCCCACTTGCTGGTATTGTTGTTTACAGTTGGACAGGCAGGCATGTTAATTAGTTTGGTGGCTATATTCTTGCATGGCGATTTGGTAATTAGATATACCAATTCATGCATGAATTCAAGCTGAGCAAGACTATTGTTCCCATATGTCGACCTAGGAGTGCAAACGAGTCGAGTCGAGCTCGACTGCTAACGAGCTCGAGCTTAGCTCATCTACTGTTTAAGTGGCTCGAACTTGAGCTCGAGATCAAATGACTCGAAATTTCTATTTTCAGCTCGATCTCAAATAAATGCTCGAACTCGGCTCGTTTATAAGCTTCTTAGCTCGATATGGATTGAATTTAAAAAAATAATAATCAATGAAATTGGGTGATGATGGTGCTAATCTTGATGATCAGGATAATAAAATTTAACTTTTTTTTGCATGTTTCACACTATAGAAATTTTATGTAAATAAAAAAAAAAAACAAGCATTAAAATTAATGACATGACATAAATACCCAACAATTAATACAATAAGAATGTCATATGTCAAGTTCCAACGGTGGGCAATCCATAATAAGCTTTCTTGTTGGTAGCAGCAATTGTTGGACTACTTCGAAAAATTTTTCCAACCTTCCCTCAAAAGCATTTATGAAACTAACTGATTTCCATATTATATCAACAACGTTTTCCATAATTTCGAACCCCCAACCCCCCCGCTTAACTATAAGATTTAGAATGTCCACATGACAGCGCACATGGAAAAGTCTACCTTCAAAAAATAACTTTCTTCTCATATGGAGGTTGTCCTTAAGCAACTTAATTGACATATCATTATTTTTTGCATTATCAATAGATATGGTGAAAATTTATTAATTACCCAATCCCCACTCTCTAACTTATGAAAGGTGTCAACAATCTCAGATGTTGTATATGGCAGAGGCAAGTGTGAGAAGTTTAGCACACGCTTTTGTAATTCCAATTGGAATCCACATAATGTGTTGTCATAGTCATGTATGAAATTCTTTAATTTTTGGACTTCCATAGATTAGTTGTAACGCTTAGTCTGGTTATGCCTTTTAATGCAATATGTAGTTTTTCTTCTTCTTCTCATAAACCAACATCACGTCATTAGGAGTTGTTATTCTAATGTACTTCATAAAATACAATGACATGGTCTTTAATACTAAACTAAATCCATCTCTTTCACAACTGAAAATGATTTTTCATTTATCAAAATGTAATAGACAACATCTCTCTAATTTTAGGATAGTCGTACTTGAAAGTTGTTAAACTTCCACTCTCCTGATAATTTTCACTTGTACATGTAATGTCTTTGGGTTCAAGCAGCAAAATCTTTTGATTCCTTATAACATTCATTTCTTCCAGAACAACAATCTAAATGCCTTATATATTGTGTTGTAGAACCTGTGCTACCTATGCATAATTTTTTTCTTACAATGAGAACATTCGACTTTCATTTGACCATTAGGGAGGTTTTTTTCTTAAACTCATCTCACACTGTCGATGTTTTCTTCCTTTTTTGTTATCTATTGGATTCTCAATTGTATTTTCATTGGCCTGCCTATTATCTTGACCCTTATTATCTTAATTTTCTCCCAAATTATTTAAGTTTTCATTTTCTCCTAGATTGTATGATTGCACTTCTCCAATTTCTAAAATCAAATGCTCATTAATATTTTCTTCAGTAACTAGCTCTATTGACATCCTATGTGAAAAAAAAAAACATCCAACAAAATTTAAAACTAAAAAGACATCCACGACATAATGTGAATATGCACTCAATAAATCAAGAATCAAAATATCTTTAATGCACACTAAGATTCAAACATATGAAAGTAATAAACAGCTTTAAGAGTAAACAAAAATGGCCATGATTTAGTTAATTGAAACTTTGATGAGAAAATCTATTGAAATAGTGCACCTAAAACTAAATTCAAGTATTAGATATATGGTTGATATCATTCCAAAATGACAATATAACTCTTATTCATTTCTTTCATAAGAACTCTTTTATAAAAAACGATTATACCAAAGATCAACCCACAATTATCCCTTTTATAGCAAGATCAGAAGACTGACTAATATATAGCAAAATACTCCTTTATCCACTAATCTCATAATAGTAAACTTTCAATAAAAGTTGGAATGATGTTTACGCAATCACATTTTAAACTTCAATGAAACAAGAACAAAAATGTTTCTTTTAACTCCATACATAAAGCATCCCTACTCCCTGTAAAAATATAACATGTAATAAGTAAATTGCATGAATTTTTCACCATCATATAAAGCAGCACAAAATAAAAAACTCATTCCAAATTTCAACCATCATATTCACCCATAATAAAATTCTCAAAAAAATTACAGGAATATTTCTTCCATCAAAAGATCCAAATTTCACAAACCATTTTGAAACTCAAAGCATTCATCATTTTGAAACCAAACTAACAAAACATTTTGAAACTCAAAGTAAGAATTTTTTTTCAATTTTGGCTTTAATTTTGGCCTTGCAAAACTTTCGCTTTGATGTGTGGGCTCCGAAAATTTGCTCCCCGACATCTTTGCGGCCCATTTTCTTCTTTTTTGGGTCATCGAGAAGAGTTTTAATGCTCAAGTTATGAGAAAAATTTTAAGAAGGCAGACTGGGTTTTAAATAAGACACTACCAAGAGATTTTGCCCTCATTTTACGAGGACTTTATGATTGGAGTTTAGGTATTATATAGCCGCAAGCCCCTATATTTAATTACCCCTCCCTATAGTGAGAGAGAACTTTTAATTAAGGTTGGTCGTCAAAGAGATACATAGTATCCAACGTAAAATAGCAACATGTTTAGGTATTTGAAAATTTAATATTTAAAATTAGAAATTTACCGCCTAACACTTAAGGCGGATGGTGGGGGAAATTATGATAGACACGATCAAGATCCTATGCTTCCATCGTCCTGGGTCATTATGGTCCCTAGTCTACTTAGTTAGATAAAGTAGTCAACCCAACCTTACTAAATGATTCTTGCCAACAGTCATAGATTGCTTCATCCAAGGATACCTTGTATACTTGGGATGAATATTTATCTAGAGGAACAAATTTAAATCCAGCACAGCTAAAATAAGACTTTGTTCTTTATCGATTATATCTCATTGATTCATTGTTAAATGATTTAATGTTGTTAGGGAACATATGAAATTTGACCATGATCATAATATAATGGTTCCAATTTGGCTGCAAAACCACCCGATTAGAGGGTCCTTATCATAACTGTTTACCTATGGTACCATTTGGCGGTGA